AAAACTGGGGTTCATGTTCTCATTTCCCAGGTGTTCCAGTTCAATAAAGTCTAACTATGTTGTTTAAATGAAAAGCAAATAATCCTTGTTTGTAATAAGAAAGAATTTAACTTCACTCAAACCTAGAAGAAGGCAAAGAGGAGGATTTAAATAATGCAACACATGTTTAGAAATATAGAATTTATTTATATTCACCATAAGACAGTTTCACATTCTGTATGTGGTTACCAGAGATGTATACCATAATACTCTCAGAGTTTAAGATGGCATTATATTGCTGTCAAACATTGCTTATGCTGTGTGAGTTGGGAAATACTTATTTCTCCCCTTAAATTTAAGGCTCAGTTTCCAAAAGGTAATTTTATCACTTATTTTTCTGTTTAAGAGACTGGGAAAGTTCTGGAACAAACCACAAGGGGATGGTTGGTGGAAGGCAGTGCCACACACTCACCCATTCATACTCCCACTGAAGATACTCAATGTGATTTATTGTTAAAGGCTCCTCCCATTTGAAAATTGTTTGGTTAACAAAAAAAATCAGTAGATGGGAGGAAAACTAGATATAGGTCTTTAGCACACAAACAAGGAAAACTAGTCGCTGTCTAAAATTGTTTATCACCAGCTGCTGTCTAAAATGTGTTTATTCCTGAACTGCCTACATATAAATGCACACACACACACACACACACACACACACACACACACACACAATTCAACTCACTTTTCTTTGGTGAAGCTTACCAAATAGTACTTCTCTTCCAACATACTAGCAAAAAATATTTACATTTCCTTTCGACTTTCAGATCAGGGGGCCACAACATCGTCATGTCTCCTAAATACAGCCCTCCATTTTTCGTTTAAGCCTTGCAGTAGAATACAACCATACCTCGAACAGGTGGATCATTCCACTGCTTACAGAATCTAAGCTAGTTGGGGGGAAGGGAGTGGGAAAGCTAATTATGAAAATCAAGTTTGGTATTTTTTTTTTTTTTTTAAGAATTACTGTGTTAACAAGTTCCACACACCCTTTAGAAACACTTTTTCCTGTACAATTACTTCATTCAGTGAACAATGACTCATCATTTACAAAAGGCAGAATCTGTTTTAACCCAGTAAACTACCTTACAATTCTTGGGGCTAATGCTATCACAACACCAACAAAAGGCAAAAAGGGCACCTGTGGGTTCTGCCTCAGCATAGAGAGGTAGAGACAATCATCTTGTAGAAAAGATTAATGATAAAACAAACAAACAATAAAACAAAACAAAACCCCCCAAAATTCTAAGGGCTAGATCTAGGAAGCCCAGTTTTAACTACAGGATGGCATTCAGTCCAATTGGGAGTTGAGAGATCCATTGCCCACAATCATCTTGCTATAATTCTTCTGCTGCTCTTTCTTAAAGGTGTCCTTCACCTTTGCTCTCTTCAGCCCTCCGTCCCTGGAAGTGAGAAGACAAATACATAAAAGATGCTTCCCATCAGTGGTCTAAAAGGGTTACATATTAATACAGGCTGCATGGCACCATGACATTGAAGAGCAAACAACATTGGATTTAGAGGCAGAACAACCCAAATTTGGGCCTCTGCTCTGTGACTTTGAGGGAAGTAACAATCTCTCTGATCCTTG